CTTAAAATAGATCCAGTTTTACATGTTAATAAATATTACAATGAAAATACTTTTGGTGAACTCATCTATACATGTTTCAACTTTATTCTCTACTTTTAAGTATTGAGAGACTAAAATTACTTTAAATTTTTTTTTCATTTTTGTTTTTAAATAAGGGGATGATTAGCTATTCTCACATTTTCTTAAACAAAAGTAAAATATTGCTTGCCATACATTAGGTATATAAGACTCTATTATATGAACAAAATTGAAAATTAATTATAAAATGCTACAAATCCAAATTTTTTCATTTCCATAAGAACTTATTTATGATGGCAAAACATCAAAGATAATATAAATACTGTGTTTATTTGTTCTCCAATGAATTCTTGATCTCTCGCACCCATCTAACATACCCCAGCCCCAATCTTCCCATCTTAGCTAATAAGGCAAATCCAATTTTCCAGTTTCTCAAAACAAACACTGATTATCCCTGATTAGTCTCTTTTTCTAGAACCCTAAATCCAAACTGTCAATAAATCATCTTGGTTTTCAAAATATATCTAGAATCCAACCATGTCTTAAGGCTTCTGTAACCACCTAATACAAGCTACTCTCATCTTTTGCCTGGGTTATTGCAATAACATCTACCACTCTACAGACTATTTTCAACCCGGCAGCCAAGGTAACCATTTAAAAGCCTAAATCATACAATGTCAATCCTCTGCCAATAGCCTCCCAGTCTTAGGCACACAAGGCCTTCCACCATCTGGCCTCCTTGTGCTCCTCTAATCTTGCATCACACTATTTTCTTTTTGGTTCACTTTTCTTCAGCTAAAATGGCCTGCTGGCAGTTCCTTCAACTTACCAGTCCTGTCCCCACCACAGGGCTTGTACAGGCTGTTCTGTCTGGAATGCTTTTTCTTCAGACATCTGCAGATATCTTCTTCACCTTCTTCAAGTCATTATTCAAATGCCACTTTCTCAGTAAAGGGCTACTCCAACTGTCCAACTTAAAATTTACAACTTTCCCATTCCTCCTATGCCTTCTCTCATTCCATATCCCTTCCCCGATTTTATGATTTTTTCCCCCATAATGCCCATGGCCTTCTAACAGACAATATAAGTATTTATTATCTAACTCCTCCTACTATTAATAGAACGTATGACAATGGCATGGATTTCTATTTTGTTTACTGATATATCTATGCCTCCTAGAACAGTGTAAGACACATATGGTGGGCCCACAATAAATATTTGTTGAAATGTAAAAGGTTGTTTACAGTATGAGAGTATTACATATTGAAGTCCATGGGAATGGGAACAACTAAGTTTCTATGTGCCTGGAGAGTTCAAGGACTCCTTGAAATCCTGATAATTCTATGATTACCTTCCCCTTCTGACTCTTAAGAACATGATTGTTTGCTCAGCAGCTAAACACTAATTTTAAAAGATCCTGGGGTGTTAAACCTACAATGAGAGGTCATGATTACAGTTCTACAAGCTACCTAGTAGTGCAATTCTTAACATTTCTTTTCTCTTCATGTTGCTTTTCCCACTTTGAAATACATGAATGCAATAGGAAGGTAGGGGAAGCCAATTTGGTTACACATGAACAGTTTGTGACCACTCCCCGCCCCAGTGTATCAGTAGATTTGATATATCTTTTCATGTTGGTTTTTCTTTTGAAATGTATGATATCAGTTGAACATCCAAGTTGGCCTAAAACAAAAGCTTTGCATATTCATGTACTTTTGGACAGCAAAAACTATTTTGTACAACTTTAGGATCCATTCTTTGGCCATTTCCATTTTAAAGGAGCATAAAATTTTAGGGCCACATGGATTTAGTTCATTTGGTTCAATCATCTTATTTTACAGATAAAAACTGAGGCCTGACTGGGTGCTGTGGCTCTGGCCTGTAATCCTAGCACTCTGGGAGATCGAGGCAGGAGGATCTCTTGAGTTCAGGAGTTTGCGACCCGCCTGAGCAAGAGTGAGACCCTGTCTCTGCAAAAAATAGAAAAATTTGCTGGGCAAGGTAGCATACGCCTATGGGAGGCTGAGGCAAAAGGATTGCTTGAGCCCAGGAGTTTGAGGTTGCAATGAGCCATGATGACACCACTGCACTCTACCCAGGGTGACAGAGCAAGACTCTGTCTCAAAACAAACCAACCAACCAACCAACCAACCAACCAACCAACCAACCAATCAACAAACAGAAAAACAAAAAACTGAGGCCCAATGATGTTAAGTGATTTGCCCAGGTACTACAGAGCTGAACAATCTTTTTGGTCAGAACAACTTACTCTAAACATAAAACAATATACCTTTGAGATTGCATGAAAAACAGTTCTCAATGTCAGGAAATTAACTGAATATAGCAACAATTTAACAATTATAATATGCAGTTCTTTCCAGCTTATTTCCATGGTGACAATTTAAGCATTAAAAATCTAAGGCAAATACAGCAAAGGATAAAATAATTGATAAATAGAAAAATAAAAAGTCTCCACAAGCATCCTAGCAAGTAACAGTCATTTATCACAAGAGAAAGAATTTGCAAGTCATCTGAAGTGAACTATCACTGTGGCATCCACATGAGAAGAAACTAGTTCTGCAGAATCACAGGGCTATTAATATTAGCCATGGCTTTTGCTATTCTTTCGAGAATTGAGTGCTTTTTACCTAACCTAATCATTTTTAAGATGCCAATGGGCATTTTTACTTTTACACTTCCTTTTTTGCACTAGGCAGGGGTCCTCAAACTTTTTAAACAGGGAACCAGTTCACTGTCTCTCAGACCGTTGGAGGGCCATTGGAGAGTGCAGCACACATTCCACACATGTGCACTGTGGGACCGGGATGAGTCTGCTGCTACGCAGGACAGGCAGTGGCGGCAAAAACACCCAGCAGGCCGAATAAATGTCCTTGGAGGGCCGCCGGTCATGGTTTCAGGCCCCCTGCACTGGTGAGTCTACATGAAGGTTATCATGCCAGAGGAAGGTAAAGTCTACACTAATGATGCTTCATTTTTCTTTAACAATTTTGTTCAGGTGATAGAGACATTTTTGTGCAGTGATATGATGTGTTTGGCCTCCCAAAGTGTTTTCCACACATGCTTTGGAAAGCTTTTATTTTTCTGAGAAATAGTAGTCATCAAAGCCTTACCTTCAGCAAGAGCTTCACTGTTTTAGCTTTGTTATAATTAAGATATCATAGTAGCATTGCTAGTTTAGGGTATTTGATAATAATCTAATGGAAAAATATTTTTGACCCTTTGTGTACAGTAATACTTTCAAACTAGAAGCAAAATTATACCTAAATCAAATTTTAAAAAACGGATTTTAAGGTTTCAGGAAATAGGAACACTAGAACTCAAGTAACTTGAAAACTAAGATCTCTGCCAACAGCACAATTCACAGTATCCTAAGAGTGAATTTTTAAGCTCTCTGTACCAGTGCCTTGTTTAATCCAGTTTCCTTTCTCCATGTCTCAATTTCATTAACTCCTGTTGTGTGTGGTTATATGTAGGCTAAACATCAGTAGTCTGAGAGTAAGAAGATATAGGTTCTATTCTAATAAACTAGGTCAAATCTGGTGAAACTCCAGGTATGGCAACATTAATTGAACCTAATTTTAATTGAAATGATCTGCTTGGAATTATATTTCTTTAGACGTGATAATTCGTTTTTCTCTTAATTTTTTGTTAACTATTTTCTTGGAAATGTACTAAAAGAGTTTTTCAACTATTGTATAAATCAGTCTTCCTCTGTAAGAAGTTATTACAATTCTCATTCTGTTACTTTCCCTTATACTGCCTATTTTGTCCAGCATTGAATTGAGCCCTGATTTGCACATTATATCGAGGTCTCACATCCTAAATATATTTATCCTTTTGGAAGTTTAAGTATTTGAAAATATTTAAGTGTTGGGGAGATTAAAGAGAACCAAACACAAAATTAACAGAAGGCTCAACTACAATCCACAGAGGAAATAACCAAATAAGTTGCTGTTTTAAACCACATAAGCAAACAGGAGGAAGGAAGGGATTAATTGGGAGATATACACAGTACTCATATGCAAGAAAATAACTTAAGCAGTAATGCTTAAAAAGACCTGAAGGTTAACAATTGAATCCCTTTAAAATACAGCATAATATTTGACAGAGTAGGAATGGACGCGAAGCATGGACCACAGCAGCCAAAAAGAATGTTAAAAATATAAATAATACTTCAAATAATATAATGAGTGAAACTTAAATCACTGTGTAAACAACTGTTATTTAATGAACTACACCTGGATCAATCAAATGTGAGACAAGGCGTAGAATTCAATATTGGGGGTGTAAGATTTAAAAATGAAGAACAGGCCCAAATCCTCAAGAAACATGAACACAGGCTCGTCCAAAAAAAGCCTTAAGTAGAAGAAACTTTCGATAACAAAAACATAAATGCCTGAGCTTAGTAAAATGAGTTGGGTAAAAATTTAATTGCAGACCATCTCCCACTGCCTGTGGAATGATCTGTGCCAGGGCAGGGAGCGAAGTGCGGGGGGCCGGCGGGAGAGCTGGCGTTTCACTGTCCCAAGAAAGGGTTCCCGTTGACACTCCAGCGTTGCAGTCCTTTGGGGAAACACTCTTTGAGACCTCTCCGCCATTCTAAAAGCACAATCCGGCTACGATCCCCGTTCACCCCAATTCCTGAAGAGAAGCTCACATCGGCCAATCTCTACCCTGGAGTTGAAAACCAACTTCCAGTGTCGGTCACCAAATCCTTCAAAAACCCTAGCCCTGTCAGCCCCATTCCTAAAGCACACAAGCGTTGGACCGCGTACTATCTTTGGTTCCCAGCTCTTCCCCACACCTCTACCAGCGACCCCGACTCTACGCCAGCCGCGTGGCCCAGCCCAGCCCGCTCCCGGCCCTGAGGGCCGCGCACAACGCCCCGCCCCCGCCGAGCGTGGCGGAAGTAGCTTGCGCTAGAAAGCGGACCGCGCGCCACCTGGCCGAGCGCGCATGCGCCCGCACAGCCAGTGGTGGGGGCGTCCGTATCGCTACCTCCTGTCTCCACAGCCCCCGCCCCACCGAGAGTCGCGCTCACGCCATCTTGCACCCCCCCTCCACACAGCCCAGTCACCTTTTCTCTGTCTACACTTTCTACCCACCCCCCCTTCCAAGCCTGTCCTGGGCCGCAGCAGCTGAAACCGCACCAACTCTACCCCCACAATCTCCACGCGGGACGCGCAGCCGTGCCTACAAGTGTTCTTAAAGCAGAGGTTGTAGTAGGGGGTGTGGGGGCGGGGCGGGGGCCGCGGGCTGGGGACAGGTCAGGGAAGCCGGAGCGGCGCCTCTAGGCCCCTGCAATGGCCACTTCCTGGGCCGGGCTGGAGGGCGGCTGCCGGCCGGGCGGGCGGCCGTGGGAGGCGCCGGCCCGGCCAGGCGTCCTGGTTCCCCGGCGGAGTGTGGAGTTGACTCCTGACTCCTCCCCGCCGGCGGGTGGGGGTGGGGCGAGGGGAGCCGGGCGGATGAGCAGCGGCAGGAATGCAGGGCTGTGTGCTCTGCACCTTTCGCCTGTCACCTAGGTAGTGTGTGGAGGGGGCGTGGAACCCTTAAAGAAGGAAATTGTTGCTTTATGGCACGATGGGAGAAGAGTTAGGCAGCGTTGGTGAGAGTGTAGCATTAAGAAAGAGGAAAAAAGGTTTTACTCTGTTCTCTGTGTCTTTGACCCCTGGGGAAATTATTTAGCTGGTCCTTGCCTAGGTATTTTGGTCTGTAAATTGGGGATCGTTATAGTCTAGTTCGGAATTGCGAGGATTATGTGAGAGAATACATGGTAGACGCTTAGAACAGCTCCAGGCGCTGCTCAGTACATGTTGTAATTACTTTTGATCTTCATGTTTTACGAGCCCGGAATGACTGTGACTTTATTTTCTCAATTAAAATCGGGACACTTGGTGAGACTGAAGTTATGGGGACAGTGGAATATGATATAGGACACTCAGACGATCCTCAAGACATAATGATACTCGTAAATGTGGGTAAATTAGCATCTCTCCATGAGGTTAGTAGAAATGGTAAACTATTTCATTGGAAAGAAAAATGTATTTATCTGACCTGGGGTTTTAGGGTATGTGTGGGGCAGACCTTGGAAGAGGAAATAAATTTGATCTGCAAAGCTTTACTTGAAAACCAATTTGAGGACGGAACTGGTGGAATTTGTTGAATTGTCCAAAGAGGCTGAATTTGACTAAATATGAGTAACAGTTTTGTGGTAGTACTTTGCAAAAATACTGTATACTTCATTGTGCTGTTGCAAGTGTCTTGTCTCAGGGTATTTAGATTTAGAGCTGCACTGTTCAGTGGAACTTTCTGCCGTGATGGAGATGTTCTGTAATCTGTGCTGCCCCAATATGGTAGCCACTAAGCGGAGTGGCTTTTGAGCACTTGAAATGTGGCAAATTTCATTGAGGAACTTTCTTTTAAATTCTACTTATTAGTAAAATGTAAATATATAGGTGTGGCTAGTGGCTACTGCATTGGACAGCATAGGTCTAGAATCTAGAAAGAACCCTTCCAATTCTTGATTTGGTTGAGTTTTAAATAAGAGAAGCCAACTCTTGGAACATTTATTGCCTTTTGGGAATCATAATTATATTCAAATAATGCCTTTCATTGAAATATATCAAAGCATGGATCTGTTAGTACTTACTTATAGCTTGACAAATTAAAACAGAGCATTCTTTTGACTCTTAGGTTGTACAGTTAATGCTAGGTTTAATTGGAGAGCCATGACAACACTAACTCTTAATCTTTTCTTTAAACATTATTGTACTGTATTGCAATCATAGGTTTCTCCTGTCTTTTACCACTTTGGTTAATTTTCAGTGAAAGCTTTTCAACTCTTTTATTCCTGAAGTTTTTGCCATTTGAAAGATGGTGCTTTTTATTTTTGTTAACCTTTTGTATAATAAAGCAATTGAATAAATTGTAGTAGTAACTCTTGAGCATTGAGACAATTTAGGAGTAGTTTTGTGGTTATCTGTATTCAAAACTTTTGATGAGATGAGTGAAATTTGGTGATAGATGTTTTACAAGATTACTTTCTTGGAAATACATGCATATGTTTTTCTTTCTAAGGCAAGTGTTTATAAAGTCAGGTTGAAACTAAAACTTAAAAAAACTTTATAGATAGCACTCCTAACTCTGGTCTGATGTCTATAAAATGATGCCCTTGGTCTCAAGGCTGAAGATAATCATTACATCTGGAACAATAAATTAAAGCTCATGAATTAAATCATATGCAGAGAATAGGCCATAATATACAAATCAAAAGGAGTTGCTCTCATGTAGGGTGACTGTATGCCTTAATTTTTCTGGGGCAGTCATGGTTTAAAGCCTGGTTGTCCCATCCCAATTATTAATAGAGTCCTTTTCGCTATCAAAAATGTTCAAGTTGGAACCACATAATAATATGGGCACCCTACTTTTAGACTTACTGAAATTCATAATACTCAATTTTAGAAGGTTGACCATATTGAAATCTCAGAAATATACTTGCTTTAAAATAGTAGCAAAATTATTGCTTTTATGCTTAAATAGGTAAGGTAGATACCAGGAATAAGGCCAAGTGACCTGTCTATTTAAGCCACTGGTAATTTGAAAATTTTGCTTTGGATACAAATCTTGGGCAGCTTGATTTTGGTTCTCTCTGAAAAAAATCATCTTTTAGTGTAGGGAGCTGCAAAGCATCTTAGGCCATATCAGTCTAAGTGGAAGATGGAGTATTTGTGTTGAAATAATACTTATTTTATGGAGAGGTTGAATAGTGAAATCATTTACAAATCTGCTTATTATGTATTAGAATGTTAAGGATTTTGCTTATAGTTTACTTAAATAACGATAAATAAGCCAAATGCATTATTAAATTTATACTGTAGTGGATAAAATATTTTATTGAGGGTCCAAAACACTTGATTTGAATCCTCACTTTGCAATTTACTAACTGTGATTTGGGCCAAGTTATTTAATCTAAGAAGCCTGTTTTCCTCATTTTAAAAATGAAGATAGTAATAGCTCTTTCGGGAATGGATCTGTCAGGTTTTTTTTGCACTGTTTACTGCCTCTGAAAATATCTGGCTTATAGTTAATAGATATTGAAGGTTAAATAAGATAACATGAAAATATCATGCTGTTTGACATGTGGTATGTGGGAGTTACTGAAAAGTCATATTCATTGAATTATGGAGTAAATTGAAATAATTTATGTAAATTTACTTTGAAATCTGTAAAATGCCATACAAATACAAATTACTGAAAACAATCTTGAAGTGTACTTTTATTTTAAATGCTGTAGCAGTTCTATGACTGAATACTATATAAGTCACTTTATTCATATCTTAGCCTTTAAGAAAAGACTACTCCAAACCATAACATTCTCTCCTTGAGAATATACAGTATGTTTAATGATAATCCTTGTGATATGTTTTTAAGAAGCTATACTTTTGCTTAGATTCATCATCATCATTATTGTTAACATGAATTTAGTGCCTTATATGTATGAGGCACTATCCTAAGTTCTTTCCATACATTAATGTAACTTATGAGAGTATTTTTAATCTCCATTTTAGAGGTGAGGGCACTGAGGCAGGGAGGTGGCATGACTTGCCCAAGGTCACATGGTAGAGCCTGTATTTGAACTCCAGAGCCCAGCTCTTTAGTGCTGCACTGTGGTTTGGCATAGGCAGATATTTCACAACACAGTTCACTGTGACAAACAAATTGTGGAGGTCTTATGAGTTAGTTATGATGAACTTTTTTATTTGTATGTTCCTCGTTGTATAGTAGAAAGAACTCTGGACCAGGAGTCAGGGGACCTCAGTTTAGTCCCAGCTTGTATCACTAAATAGTGGTGTGTCCTTGGGCAGTTCAAGAAACCCTTCTGGACTCCAGTTTCCTCACCTGAAAAATGAGGGATTTGGGTGAAATTAGTGATTTTCAAACTAGTTCTGAAAACTGCTCAGTTGTCTTTGGTTCCCCTCCCACCAGTTTACATAGTTGTACTTTTATCTGTTATAATTGTTTATCCCTCTGCCTAAGATTTTCTTTTAAACAAAGAATTCTTTAGCTGTTAAAACTAATCAGTCTTCAAGATAACTTAATGACAACCTAAGTCTCCTGACTGCTGTGTGTACAACTCTTCATTGTTCACATTATTTTAGTGTGTTAGGAGGAGTTAGGCAGCTTTTACAAATGAAAAAAGGAAGGCACCAAAATGAGTGTTTTGTTAAAATATAGTATATCTAGATATCTAGATGGAATATTTTAGGTTATCAGTTACCTGGGATCAGAGCCCTTTTTTTTTTTTTTTAGATTTGTGATCTTTAGCCAAAATTTTTACTTTTAGTTTCCTCATTGGTAGAGGGAAAATACTTGCCTTTCAGGGTGATCGTGGGAAAAATGTGAGCTAATACAGGTAAAAGACCCTTTATATACTCCAAATTCATCTATTTTTCACACGCATACAGTAGATCTCCCATTCCTTTTTAGTCACATAAACTGTTTTTAACATCACATATTCTCTTGAATTGTTTATGTTTAACACCAAATTTTCATAAGACTTAATCTTTCTAAAATGAATCTAGACTGGAAGAGAGTCTTTGATGTTTAAGGGACTTGCACCTTTTTTGGATATCTTTGTCAAATACACTTACCTCTTACTATTAGGAGTATAATTGATTCCAAAATTTTCCATTCATCTGAAAAGTTAACCATTAAGTCACTCAATTTTATATATAAACAAGTGTTTTAATATTGGAAAAGTAAGCTTTGCTGTATGCTGTTTGTCAGATTTGGAAGTTGAGTATTTTAGGATAACCTGGTAGGCACATTTGCAGTGTACTTCAGGGATCATTTTTGCAAAGAATAAATATTTTTTTGAAACTCAGTTTTTCTGGAAGAATACTGAATATGAAAGCACATGGAATAGAAACTTACATCAATATGAGACTAAACAAGAAAAATATGATACTAGAACCTCATGTGTCTGAGCAGTCTGTAACTGGCCTCCTATGTCTGTAAGTTAAAAAAAATTGTTCATGTAGCTAACTAGGATATGTAAATGCACAGTTTATATATCTATATTATCTAAAGAGAAGAGGGAGAGTTTTCATAGTTTACAAGGTGTTCTGTTGTTATCTTCAATTCAGATATATTTTTTGAATGTCCATTATGTGGTAGGCTCTGTATTGTTCTTAATACCCTGGTGAGACAGAAATTATTCTTGACAGATGGAGGAACTGAGTTTGAAAGATTAATTGATCCTTATATGAGGTTCTGTTATTGGTTAATTATCCTTCTTAACAAAAACCCTGTGACCATGACTTTTATTTCCGTTTTCTACTTTACAACATCTCTCACAAAGCTTCCACTTGAATGTTTGATAGTTGTCTCAAACTTAACATGGCCTCAACTGAACTGGGTTTTTTCCTTCCCAGTCTTCCTGATCTCATAAATGGCACCACCACTCAAGCAGTTGCTTGGGCCCCGGACTTCAGAGTCATCCTTGACTGTTCTTCTCTCAGATCCCATGTCTAGTCCATCAGCCAATCAGCTCTGCCTTCAAAATATATTCCCGAAATCTGACCACTTCCTACTGGCCTAGTACACTTTATGATGTATAACTTCACTACAGTCAAAACTTTTTTTTTGGTAGCAGTATTTTCTGAGGTAAGGGGTCTATCTTAAATTTCATTGTTTTAAATTAAAAGATAAGTGCTGACCAGGTGTGGTGGCTAACTCGTGTAATCCCAGCACTTTGGGAGGCTGAGGCAGGAGGATTACTTGAGGCCAGGAGTTTGAGACCAGGATTTCAAGACCAGCCTGGGCAACATAGAGTGAGACTCTGATCTCTACAAAAAGAAAAGGAAAAAAAACAAAAAAAAGTGGGGCATTGTGATGCACACCTGTGGTCCCAGTTACTTGCAAGGCTGAACTGGGAGGATCCCTTGAGCCCAGGAGTTCAAGGCTGCAGTGAACTATATAATTGGGCCAGTGTACTCCTGCCCGGGTGACAGGCAGACCCTGTCTCAAAAAAAACAAAAACCGCCGATTTTTCTCTGGAACACGATTTTATAGGTGTAACATAGTACTGGCTATTGGCTTAATGATCAGGTTTAAATAGTTTTAATCATAAGTGAACTTATTCCTTGGGTTCACATATTAAACTATGGCATGTTGAAATAATCTAGGTCCCAATCTGCACATCTGAATTCATTTTGTAAAATATGGCAAACAGCTGCATTTCAATTGAAAGCTGAAACAACTGCAGGACATTAACCCATTGAGAAGATTACAGTAGGTTTTCAGTTCCATGTTAACTGTATTTATTAGAGAAAATTGACTTGAGTGCTTCTGCTTTTAACAGGATTTTTTTTAAGTGTCTGGAAGAAAGGAAGTAAAGCATTGGGATGATAGGACTTTGATGTGTAAGAAGTTAATGTCTAAAGAAGTTAATTATCTAAACCATCAGAAAAATGTGGGTATGGGAAATATTTTAAAGAGTAAAGAGCTATCAGCTCATCATGTCAAGAAAAATGTTATTCACCTGTTTGATTTAAAAATTAACTTGACTGTGAAAGGATGATCATGGTTATAATAAACTAGAATTGAGACCCTTTACCTTTTAGCAATAAATACCCTGATGTGAAACATTTGCAATAGAAAGACAACCTGAGAAAGCTGTGGTTTTAATATGCATTTACTTTATGAAATATCTCCTCTTTTTTTTATTTTTATTTATTTATTTTTTTTGAGACAGAGTCTCACTTTGTTGCCCAGGCTGGAGTGAGTGCCATGGCGTCAGTCTAGCTCACAGCAACCTCAAACTCCTGGGCTCAAGTGATCCTCCTGCCTCAGCCTCCTGAGTAGCTGGGACTACAGGCATTCACCACCATGCCCGGCCAGTTGTTTTTTCTATATATTAGTTGGCCAATTAATTTCTTTCTATTTATAGTAGAGACAAGGTCTTGCTCTTGCTCAGGCTGGTTTCGAACTCCTGACCTCGAACAATCCGCCCACCTCGGCCTCCCAGAGAGCTTGGATTACAGGCGTGAGCAACCCGCGCCCGGCCGAAATATCTCATCTTTAGGGAGAGTTAGAACAGGGTGACTGGATTTGAAAATGAAAAAGGGGCAGGTTGCTCCAGCAGTGTCTTAGGACATTTGACCGTAGGATAATCCCACAGAATGGCATGTCTGTCAAATTTGACGAGTCAAATCATAATTGTTTTTTTCTGAGGTCCTTGAGAGATCCAAGTTCCTTTTTTTTTTTTTAGCACTTTGTCCTGATTTTGCCTGTTTGTAGAAGTTTCCTCAGTTTCCTGTCTGTTTTCCTCCAGTCTTGGACTCTTGATGTAATTTTTTTTAACTTAAATTTTGAATGGTAGGCAGGGCATGGTGGCTCAGGCTTGTAATCCTAGCACTCTAGGAGGCCGAGGCGGGAGGATCGCTCGAGGTCAGGAGTTCAAGACCAGCCTGAGCAAGAGTGAGACCCATCTCTACTAAAAATAGGAAGAAATTAGCTGGACAACTAAAAATATATAGGAAAAATTAGCCAGTCATTGTGGTGCATGCCTGTAGTCCCAGCCACTTGGGAGGCTGAGGCAGTAGGATTGATGGAGGGTACCGTGGCTTAGTTGGTTAAAGTGCCTGTATAGTAAATTTCAAATGGTAATGTTTCTTTTCCTGTATCATTTGTAGAAAGTACTTCAAAAATCTTTGTGAAAAAAATAGGACAAATTTAGGCTTTAAAAAGGTGATGGCCTATTTTAGCATTAGGTTCTTTATGTGTGATAGAATTTTGCTTTTTAGGCTCAATTTGAATGGAGCTTTTTTCTTTTTCCTTTCTTTCTGTGCACTTGTCTTAGATCTTTGTCCCGTTTTCTTTTCAGAAGCTTCATGTAAACTTCATGTTATCTCAGGCAGTGATCTCTAGTAGTTTTTTTTCTCAGCCTTCTTTCATGAGACTCAGCCCTTCTATTTCAACCCTTGGTGAATGACCTGGGTTTAGGTTCCCTTTATTATTTTATCATTACCCAGGGGGGTGGTCAGATTAGAGTAATATATTAAGGAAATAAGTTTGGCAGCAATGTGTAGAATGAACCAAGATGGAGAGAGAGAAGATGTAGATAAGAGTTCATAGAGAGCCATGGCAGTAGAACAAGAGTGGAAGGATATGAGAACATAAAGTAGAATTTACTTGGCTTCTTACAAATTAAAGGGTGCAGGAGAAGGAGTCAAACATAATTACTGAGATTTTGAGCTGGAGTGACTAGTAATTAGTGATGTCAACAGTCAAATTGGAATTAATTTATTTTATAAGAAAACTACTTAATAGTTGTTGAATTGCGTTGAAGTCTTTTAGTTAAAATATTCAATTTTTTAAAACTTGTGTGATTGTGAAATTTACAAATCTAAATTTATATAGAAGCTTTTAGCAGATCAAGAAAAGGGAGTTCTTAAGGTCTTTCTGGTTATTATGATAGCTGACATTTGTTGTGTACTTGCTGTGTGCTAAATACTGTTTTGCATCTTTGCATGCGTTCATTTAATTCTCACAACAACCCTAAGAGGATGGGATTATTATTCCCATTTATAGTTGAGGAGATTGAAGCACAGTCTGTTTTCCACAGTTTTATGCAAAACAGAAATGATCAGAAATTTAAATTTTCTATACTTTTTGAAGTAATTTAAAATTTCTTGCATTTTTTCATCCATTTATTAATATTTATAGTTAAATACATCTTGTAAGCTTTAATTCTTCTTTTTATTTAGATGAATAATACTGCAGCTAGTCCGATGTCTACTGCCACTTCAAGTAGTGGAAGAAGTACAGGGAAGTCTGTAAGCTTTGCAGCAGAATTACAGAGTATGATGTAAGTATGTCTCCGCATACTATTACTATTTTAAATTTATTCATGTTGAAGAAAAACAATTGAAATAACAAAATTTGTAAAACTTCAAAATAATTTGTATTTATTCACGTAAAAATGAAATAGTATCCGATAACATTTTAAATAGCCATATACAGAAGAGGCAAAATTGGTTAAGAATGCTACAGTGGTACTGTATTTGATAAATGAGTATTGGTTCATCTTTATAAAAGATAGAATGAATAATTACATAAACACATTTGCTCTAATTATTATTTGCTCAAATCTGTGTTATGGATTATTAATATTTTAGTTTTAGATTTAGAAGATTTTGAAACTGGTTGTATTCTTAGATAGTTAAAATGTTTTCATGGAGAAGTTCTTGGTTTTTCTCAAATGTCTTAATAATTTTATGAACTTAATTTAAATTAGATTTTAGTTTGATAATGTTTAGAATCACTATATTTCAGAATACTAGGAAAAAACTTAGAGGATTTAAAAAACATCATTTAATATTGGAGAAATTGCCAGTCATTAAAATTTCTTAAGTCTCTATTCTGCTTGATTTCATTGAGTGAGACTACATATCTTGATTTGATAGGAGGTAGCATATTTATTAGAAATGTCTGTTGACACATAGTAGTTTTTCTTTACTGTTGAGATAGTTGTTTACAAGGGGTCAACACATTATAGCACTTCTTTTCCTTTGGATACGTTATTCGTGACGTATCAGGCAGTTTTTAAGAATAGTTCTGTTAAAGGTTTAAGTGTCTTCCTGTTGTGGGTTTATATCCATAGCTTTCATGGTAAATTAACACCACTATTTGATGATTATTCAAAGATAAAATTACTTTGAGCATATATCTATAGTTGCTTGGTAAACATACTTTAAATAGCGTTGAAAACATTGAGGTCATAGGTTCTCAAACTTTTTGGTCATAGGATCCCTTTACAGTCTTAATTATTGAAGAACCTAAAGAAAATTTGTTTATGTGAGTTATATCTATTAATATCTATTGCTTAGAATTTAAAACTGAGAAATAGAAAAATTACACATTAATTTAAAAAGTAATAGACCTATTAGATGTTAATATATTTCTTATAGAAAATTATATTCTAAAGCCCAAAATTGATGACACCTTTTGTTAGATAAGAGGAATAAATTAAACCTAATTAGGAGCTCTATGAAGTGAGCCTGTGTTTTAAATTATGGAAAATTTTAAGGGTTTATACTTGTATAAATTTTGTGGATTAGTTTAACTTTTTTCATTATAGTTTTAGTAGCTTTATGTTAAGAATCTTTTACATTGTGTTATGTCAATTATGTTTTAAATATTAGGCATGTTTTAAATGGTTTACAGTAAGGTGAGAAAATTCATTTTTGTGTAGAGTTGGTTCATTGATTTCCTTTGTATTCTTTAAAAAATTTTAACTTGGAAATTTTCAAACTCATGAAATTATAGAGAAGAGTATAATGAACCCCATATATTAATCACCTGGCTTAAACAATAATTGTTTTACCAGTCTTATTTAACTTTTTCCCCTACTCTCTACTTTTTTACAAATAAAGTATTTTAAAGCAAATACCAATTTTAAGAATATTGTCTCAAAATTCATTATATTTATAGAAACAATCTATTTGTTATTTAAAAACAGATGATATATAGCAGAGGTCAGCAAACTATGGCCATGGGTTTGCTGCCTGTTTTTGTAAATAAAATTTTATTGGACCACAGCCATCCTCGTTCTTTTATCTGTTGTCTGTTGCTGCTTTCATGCTATATGGCAGAGTTGAGAATTTGTGACATAGACCATGTGGCCTGTAAAACTGAAAATATTTACTATATGGCCCTTTACAGAAAAAGATGGATAACCTCTATAAAAACACCTCTCTTTAAAAAGAAAGCTGTAGAGTAGTATTTCCTTTTGTCATTTGTAAGTGGGAGAGGTTCTGCTTAATGCATTTGGTGGACCTCAGTCCATTTAAGAAAACTGAGAAAAAATATAAGCTAAATTCTGCACTTTCTTATTAAATACTTTTGCAAACATCTTCCCAACTGGTGTGCCTAAACTAGATTCAGATTGCAATAGTTATTGTTGGCCACAGCTCTGGAATAAATGTACATTTTCCTTCTATTTCAAACCTCATAGAATGGCCGCTCCTAATAGTTACATTCATCATTTATAGTCTGAAGTTATTTTTTTCCCCTTATGAATTTCTTCACAGAACAGGGATATAGGACCAAAATTGGGGGGATTTAAAAAAATTTACCAATATTTCCACTGATATAAAAAATTTAGGCTTTTGATTATATAAAATTAGAATTGATATAAATTGATCCTTATGTGCTCATTTCAAATGAGAGAGTGCAGACTTAATTAAGCTGCTGTGTTTATTTTGTGTTTGAGGAATCTCATTCTGTGAATACCTACTTCACTGTTGCTGTTTCACAGTTCTGAGCCTGTTTGTATTGCTACTTTTCAATTCTCTACTACTCTCTTTCCCATCTATTCACTATTATTTTTTTTTTTTTTGAGACAGAGTCTCGCTTTGTTGCCCAGGCTAGAGTGAGTGCCATGGCGTCAGCCTAGCTCACAGCAACCTCAATCTCCTGGGCTCAAGCAATCCTCCTGCCTCAGCCTCCCGCGTAGCTGGGACTACAGGCATGCGCCACCATGCCCGGCTAATTTTATCTATATATATTAGTTGGCCAATTAATTTATTTCTATTTATAGTAGAGATGGGGTCTCGCTCTTGCTCAGGGTGGTTTCGAACTCCTGACCTTGAGCAATCCGCCCGCCTCGGCCTCCCAGAGTGCTAGGATTACAGGCGTGAGCCACCGCGCCCGCCCCTATTCACTATTATTGAGCTGTTTTTCTCCTGGCTCCCTGCCCTCTAAATAAGTAACAATATTATAGTGTCATTTCCAGGAATAGTTTCACTGATAGGTGTCTAATTGTCAATCACAAATGAAATTGTCATGATCTGCTATTTAATATAGAACTGGCAGCTAGTCTGTTCTATCAGAGCCTTGAAGAACTTACCATATTTTAAAATGTGGGTGGTAAATACCACCAGTGAAGCACTCCTTAGGAAGTGCTTCTATAGATTTTAAACTAAAGGATTAGTAGTCACCTAATTGCTAGTGGGTTTGGTTGACAGCAGCTGTGCCTTACCTAGTTCGTATAACTGAGCACATTTGCTGTATGCTCTTTATCACAGCTCTTTGAATAACCTGTGCTAGAAGAGTCCACAGTTTTTTTATTTTTAGGTTGTTGAACTCAAGCAGCCTATACATTTGAAAGTGAAATCTTTTCAATCTACATTATAGGTATTTTAACGAACTTCTTAAGAATTTTAATTAATTTTAAAAGTTTTCATTGAATATTTTCTTTCTTATTTTATTGATTTATATATTTCTTGCCTTGTCATGTTGTACTTTTTTCAGGTTTACAGGCCTGGTGCCGATGCCAGGTTTCACAGCTCAGTAGCATTACTGTAAAAGCAAACTGAGAACATAAAAGCACTATGTAATGGAAAGTTGGTTATACTTTTTTTTCCTTTTAGAAATGAAATAGGAAATGTTTAGTTCCTAAATCCAGTTGAGTTAAGTGCTTTTGTTAAACAAATGTGATTTTATAAATGTGGCATGATAAAATTTTGATTTTATATTTAAATATTACTATCATTTCTCTCATGAAAAGAAATTAACTGGGACTTTCAGTTTAGAATAATATGTATAATTACCAGGGAGAAAAATATCTTGCCCACTCTTAGAAATAAAGTCTTGAAATGCAGAGAGACAGGGTTATTTGAATAATTCTGTGATAAAAATCCTTAGTTATATGGGGAAAGATAGGTAAAAAGTCACAGATCTGTCATTCTAAAATTGCAGTGTATTTGCTAATTATCATGACGGAGAATGGAAGTTCCTCTTTTGAACTAATTTGATGGCAGAACCAGGCCCTAATTGATGTGCAGCTATTTATGTTCTTCACTTATTTTTAGTGTGAATAGTCACACATTCCACTGTTCCTGAGTGCTTCCCTAGACCCTGCTGAGGGTATTATGTAGCATATGGTTTATGTACTGCATAAACTTTCAAAAATCTGAAAACTTCTGAATTCTATGATACATCTTTCAGTTAAGGGATTTTGTGGACTTGTATCTACCTCACAGGGATAATGTAAAGATTAAATGAGATTGAGTTAAAGCACATGGTAAACACTGTCCTGTTAGTTGTTATCATCTTTTTGAAAAATAATTATCATCATTTACATACTGATTAGGAAGTTTATAAAATGTGTTTCAAGTGCAGGAGGAAATATTTGTAATTTATGGGAAGAATTTCTTAATTATAGAGAAAAAGGATTTGTCTACTTAGAGCATGCTGTTCAGTAAAACTTTCTACAGTGATGGAAATTTCTTTTTCTGTCCTGTCTAGTATGATAGCCACTAGCTAGCCACATGTACCTATTGAGTGAATTAAGTAAGCTAGACAACTGAGCAACTGAATTTTAAATTTCATTTTATTTTAATTAATTTAAATTTAAATAGCCACACGTAGCAAGTGGCTACCATATTGGACAGCATAGAAGAAATGTAGAAAATATAAGTTATATCGAGAAAAGTTTTTCTGGGTTCCATGTATTTTTATTGAAACTGGGAAATGTTATATATATCCTGTTGATTTTATATATATATTTTTTTTTTTTTTGAGACAGAGTCTCACTCTGTTGCCCAGGCTAGAGTGAGTGCCGTGGCGTCAGCCTAGCTCACAGCAACCTCAAACTCCTGGGCTCGAGCGATCCTTCTGCCTCAGCCTCCCGAGTAGCTGGGACTACAGGCATGCGCCACCATGCCCGGCTAATTTTTTATATATATATCAATTGGCCAATTAATTTCTTTCTATTTATAGTAGAGACGGGGTCTCGCTCTTGCTCAGGCTGGTTTTGAACTCCTGACCTTGAGCAATCCGCCCGCCTCGGCCTCCCAAGAGCTA